AGGCCCATGAGATTACAAGGCTTTCCATCTCATAAAAAGAACAACTGGTGGCGATTTACTTCGAGAAGCTATATATTGAAAAGTTACATATGGCAAAGCGAATGATAGGTATATAGATGTCTAGAAGCTGCCAAAACCTTGGGAAAAGCCTATAAATTATTCCAGTCCAGACAGTTCAAAAGCTGTTTGGCTACCGCCGGATTCTTTTTTGTAACAGCCTAATATTGTCTGCTATGTAGTATAATTACTGTTATGTGACAGGCCCTTAGTGTCGGCCCTCGGCATGTCTGGGTACATAACGAAGGGCACTTTTTCTTCCATCGTGAGTAAACGGACTGCTATGATTGTTGTGAGCTGTAGTTGTTAACGAACGTTGGGCATATCGTTATTCGACTATCTGTTTGTCGAGCGTTTGCTAGAAGCTAACAAATTAAAAATTCCCATCGACCGTTAAGATTCGTTGATGGAAAACTTGCTCAAAGCGGAAGACTTGAAAATAACTTAATTCGTCCCCATGCAACAGTTCCACTTCTCGAAGGAGCTTATGCACTTCGGTAATCCTTCAGTCACTAGCTTGAGAAATTATAGAATTAGGTGTTATAGAATGTGTCATAGAAGTAAGTCTGACCAACGCTAACCAATTTGAAAATCTGCCTAATGTGCGCGCGCACATCAATGCCACACAAGTATATCATTTTTGCTTCATATTTAGTTGGTTGAAAAGCTATAATTTCTACGATTTCATACTAATTATTCCCACCAGTCCTCAGCAGTGCTTCGAAAATACCTACGTGCAGCACAATTTAATAGAAAACGGTTGATTTTAACGTAGAGTACATACCGTATATATCTGCTCTAAAATGTAGATTTTTAACATTTGAAATGACAACTAATAATTTTTCGATTTCGAAATATTGCTCGATTACTTTTCAACTTCTAACTTTATTCAAATAGTAAAAATTGAATCTATATGTAACCATACGCTGCCTTTACTACTGTGGAGGTCTTCACGCTAACTGTTAACTTAGGCGGATCTATAAATAGAAACTGGCATTGAGACAAATATTGTTCATTCAAAGAATGACCTTACATCTTATTAAGCAAAGCGCAAAAATAGCTAGCTACAATCTTCAATACCGCACAAGTCTTGCCTTGAAACCTAGTTTCTGTGCGTAACTGGATAAACGCAAATAATGTGGTGACTCCCTTTTGGTCTGTCTATTAACAACCAAATGATGAATCTAGAGGGCAAGCACCCTTATTGGAAAAGTCCGCAAGTCTTTAATCTAAGTATGAACGCTTACAATTTGTAAGTTATTTAGGAAGAATAAATGGCTTCTAGCAACACCGAACCACAAATATGCAGTTCAGGTTGTTGGTATAAAGCCTAGACGGGGCATAGGCTCATGGAGTTCTTGAAGGCTGTGCACTTTCACCTCACAATCTCGCTCCATTCTAATTCTGCTAGTGCTGTGCTGTGCTATGTTCCAGCTGGGATTTCCTGAGCTTGGCTTTGGCTGGCTAGCACCGCAGCAGTAGCAAACGCTGCGCTGCCAACATCTTACAGGAAAGTTGGGTTTTGCCAGTGCCGCCCAGTAAGAAAAGGCACAGAAGAGTGGTACATCGGCTGCTTTAGCCTCGCCTATGAGTGAAGATGGGGGGAACTCTAGGACATGGGATAGGACCCGAAATGTTGGTTAGGTTGTTGAAATCCCTGTCGAGGTGTAAACACTTCCTGATAAAACTTCGTCTAGTGGCCTCCTGAGCCTTTTGCTTGAAACCTATTGCCCGCTTTCCGGCGACGGATGAGCCCTTTTGCCAGTAGTCCTCTCTCAAAAAAGAAGCCGAATGGACGGACAGATGGAGGGCTGAACAGGCGAACCAGCTCGAACGGAAGGTGCACGAGGGGTGTTGCTACTGCCGTTGACTCGGGATAGTAAACCCCGTTTTATAGATTCTCGCTCTCTACCCCACAGGCTCAGCGCGCAGGATGTAAGTCTAGCAGGCGTGCGTGGCCCGACCTCAAGGTGTTTAAAGTGGGATAAATGACAACTATAATGTATGAACGAGCGCCAGCGCACTGTGGCCTTACTGAACTTATGGCCTGAACTCGACGGTTAGCAAGGAGAACCTACCCTGCCAGACATTACGGAGGGAAGAGTGGCATGAAAACATGAAGCTATGCATTATGAAGGAGGAATGCTGAAAGGGACTGGTGTTTCTTTCAGCGATAATGCGATCGACAATACGATACCACAAATCTATGCCAATCTTTAAATTGAACGCGCGTAACGGTATATAGTAACTGACTAGAACGTAAACACCTTTCCCTTTATCGAAAACACCACTTCTTCTTAAGAAAGGCGCTTCCTTTTGCGGAAGCATATTGAGAAATATATACTGTATTCCTACTCTCATGATTGATTATCCATCTGGTCCATAACAATGGCTATCTATTTAAGGCATTTTTCTGAAAAGATAGCGCACAGAAATTTCTACTAGATTAGTATTCCTGTTGCTGCTGAGCACTAGTACTGTTATGCTTTGAATTCTCCGCAACTATTCAATGTCTTGCTTGAGTGGCTAGAATGTACATGGCTCAAGAGTTATGTTATTTTGAGATTCAGCAAAGTCAAACTTTCCTAATATGGCTAAGTGCTACTTTTTTTCCGTTGCAATCATAAGAAGGAGTCACGTTTTAAGGTAGAGAGAGAGAGAGAGAGAGAGAGAGAGAGAGAGAGAGAGAGAGAGAGAGAGAGAGAGAGAGAGAGAGAGGACGTATTTACTGGCCACGGCACGAAGAAGCTAAACACGTGCCACATACGTTCAATAGCTACTTGGAGTTATTGCTATTGCGTTGTTGTGCCTCTCCAATGTTACATATAGCTTCAAGTTGTAGATGTATACGGCGATCAAGTCATGGAAATCTTTTTCCGGCGAAATGGGTCGTCCTAGAACTGGACCGAACTGAATTACTCGCATAGAGATGCACTTGAGAGACGTTTCTACTGTCGAGTTCGATCACTCATCATTTTTCATCCGTTCTAAACTGGTTGCTAGTCGAGGCGACATAAAAACTGTGTGATATAGAATGACGCCGGACAAGACGAACAAAAAAACTTGTCAAAATCTATCGATACTAGGAGCGCTTTTGAAGTGTGCACCTCGGAGGGATTGAGTTTCTGAAGTTGCTACTGTCAATGCTACTGGGTAGTGGGGGAGGCACGACAAAACGGGTAGTTGGTTGAAAAAGCGAAGAAAGGAAGTAGTACGCGACGCCGACGGAACAGCTGTTTAAAGGAATGGATGGAATCAGTTCAGATGACGGCGGACCCCGACGAACTGTGTTTAGGGGGCCTTCACAAACCGCTGGCCGACGGGCAACCTCTTCTTGTTCATAGCTAGCGAAGAGCAAGTAATGTTCCACCGTCCTTGCAATCCGAACTCATCGGAGTTCGGATTCTGCTTCTTCCTCGCGTCCTGGACAAACAACAAGGCTGACTAGTTAGCTTGTAAACAACCAGTGGGTGGCGCCACTTGATAACTAAAGAATAGTTCTTTGTCAATAACAATGAACATTTAAGCCGGCTATTCAATTTCTAAAGTTTTTAAAAACATCTGCAGAAGGAATGTTTGTTTTGTGATACTAAAGGGCTCAGAGTTCGAGAATACATGACAGTGAATGTGTCAATATTATAGTAACTTTATAAAAGTCCTCTATCTACGCTGCGCATCGAAGTGCGGCTATTTTTTTTTTTTTGGTTTGCCGTTATATTCTAATTTCGGGCTGTCTATCGCAAAAGGAACAGATTACAATTGTATAATAGATTTTTGGTCACAATATAGGCTTCAGATCTCTTCTATTATCATTTCTATTTTTCGAGCCTATCTCACTAAACGTTACATTTCGTGTATGTTACAGAGGACACATAGAACGAAAAGAAAAAGACGGTTTGTAATCTATATGTTGTTTTTTTTTGTATTTTTTATAATTTTCAAGTTATTTTTCCCGAGTGCGGAACCTAGACTGTGACCGTGCTGCCTTCTCTTCTATGTCTTTCCGACTTCGCGAGCAAGTTAACGATACCTCAATCGCAGTGACGATGTCCACAGTGTCTAACGGCTATGGCGAACGCGTCACAAAAACAGTGATGCTCATCTCAGAGCTGTCATGAGCTGCGGGACAGCCATCGCGGTATCATTTCGACAGCGGAAGACAAAAATGATGCCTAGCCAACTTGTCAGAGAACGGATACTGAAAAGACAGCGACGAAGGTACAAATGTGAATTTCCTATTATTTCTTATCTCCCATTCTTTTTCTCACTTTCTCTATGGAATGGCGCCATTGCGTCTTGGGGCAAAATTACGAAATGAACTTCCGCTAGCACGTCATCGCATAAGGCATCGCATCAATGAAAAGGAGCGAACATAGTGTGAAGCAAACCCAAAATGGTAGCTAGGTCCTTCCGACGTTCCCATAGATGAAAGCACAAGAAGGTCAGAGTCACATAGATATTCGAGTAGAGAATTGTAAGTATACTACAACAGGAAGTGTTATAGAAGAACGTTTCTATGAAAATTTGACTTTCACCTAGTCTGTATCCATAATAATTATACGTTTCAATTTCACTACCAATCAAATGCAAGTAAGATACTTGAAGATAAATATCTGTGCTTTTAGAAGTATCGCAAATTCTTTTCTAATTAAGGCTGCGTAGGTGGGCTGAAGTAGCAACGGCAGCATGCCATACAAGCAGCTTCCCCATCGTGAATGTCTCGTTGTAATGAAGTTATTCGTATGGTTTCCTTCCGTGAAAACAAACGATAGAGCGCGACAGAGTTCGCAAGGGTAGAAGCAAAAGCATCGAAAGGCACTTTGCCCACGCGGTGACCTCGTCCGTTCCCTCCTCTACAGGATGCCTCTCCACAAGCTCTCTCCACCCGGGCCCCTTTCCTTATTCTGCACGCCAACTGCTGAGCTCCGGCATGAACCTGCAGAGCCGACCGCGTGAACGCGAAACTGGGCGAGGCCGGGCCGCTATCTGTGTTAAACTCAGTTGGCTCCTTACGTTATTTCATTGAGCGATCAATCTACGACTCCTATAGGACATGGTTGTTACAATCGCAGTTAGCATCGTGCACACTGTGGCTTTAAAACGTGGCGTACTTCAAGATCGTGTTTGCTCAAATCGCTGATGGTGATCGATAAGAGTGGTGATCAATTGAGATTCGAATTGATTTAGTTAAGAATCATCCGAACTCCTCAATGGTTATCGACCGGCAAATTAGGCCGACGTCAAGATGTGTTCGTTGGTATAACGTTTGCCAACCGTAAAATCAAAAAATGCGGCAAGACAAATCGGTTGAGTGTTCACCAACAGCCTATTGCAACGTGTCGTAGTGGCGACGTGGAAGAAGGAAAAAAGTCAGCCGTCTAGTATATCTGCAACAGTCTTTTCTCACAACAGTCTTAGAGTCAGTAAAAACACGAAGACAGACAGAAAGATAACACGAAAAATAATGAAAGACACTAGGAAATAAAAAAATCACCGAATCCGATGGACGACGACGGTTGACGCGTTCGTCGATTTATTTAATTGTTGTCACACTTCTTGTTGTTGATGTTGCCCGTTGTTGTTGACAAAGAACAATCGGAGAAAAGTAAGGAAACAAGCAGCTGCAGTTAAGGCTCTAAAAGTGTTATTCGAGAGGCTAGGCCTGCGTAGAACAACATCAACGTTGGAACAACAACTAGGCCATACTAAGAATACGACTACAACTATTACAAGTGACCCAGACTATTCCACTGCTCAAAAAACATTACCTACCGAAAGCTTTCGCGAATAGACCCGCATGGTCTTGCTACAAAGGCTAGCTAGCTTGTGGGACTCGCCTTTCTCTGTCCTGGATTTGGTTCGAAAATTTCGAAGAGAAGTTGTTCTTGGTTACCGCGTGGTTTTACGTGAGAACGTTTTGTTCGACAGTGTTCCTTTACGATAGTTAGATATAAGAGTAATAGTGCGCATACGTAGGAACAAAAATATAAGGTACGGTATAATCATTTTAGAGGGAGCATCGTGTCTACGTGAACAATTGTCTCATTTGTTGTGTATCACCTTTTGTTTTTTAAAAAAGTTTATTAACTTTATATAACCATATATTTCCTTTTTAAAATTTGGAATAAAAGATAGAAAACTGCCTACAAGCACTGTTATCGTTTAGGAAAGGGGCACCACGTTTATCCAATTTAGGGAGTTTCAAACAAATCGATGAAAATATCGACACATTGGGGATTGTACCCCAGTATGTAATCATAATAACAAGTATAATAAATAACGATTCCAAAGTGCAGCTGACTAGTTATAACAAGGGGTAGCTAACTATGTGGAGCTTCAGTAATTAAGCGTCACTACTTTGACCACTATCTGTTTGGCTGCATGTGCTTCAAAATGATTTTATGAACTGCAACGGCACTTAGCTGCAAGTTGAAGTTACCCTGATTAACTGCCTTAGTGGGGCTATTGGCAGCAGGTGATCCGAACGACTGACGTCCACAATTGAGGTCGGGCCGAAAACGGCGGATTATTGTGAGCCGCGTAGAGAAGCGGTTGGCAGTGGTGCGTCCTTGATAACTCGATAGTCCAATAACTTCAGCTCGAGTGAAGCCAAGTCAAGTGAAGTTGCCGTTAAAGAGCGATATTGTATTTAGTCGCTATTCAGTGTTCGTTTCGTAGTGCACTTGTCTAAACAGCGCCGCCGTACGGTGGGAGGATTCGGATTCATTTTTTAAAGGAGAATAGAAGTGCACTCGACTATGCACGCGCAGTGTCCCTCGCAATGGAATGGTCTGGGTGTTCGACCCAAGACGGCTGCAACACTTCGAAAATCTGTTGAGCATCGGTGTAACCATCCAAATCATAGGAAACTCCTCGATGGACCCAAACCATTGCCAAAACCAAGAAAGCTTCAGTTGTGCGGATACATCTCAACACAGACGTTCTCTGATGTACACGGATTATGTGAATATCTGTTTAAAGGTAAGCAAAAAGAAAGCCTATGCGATCATAATGGTCATATACCTAATAAAAGTAATAACCAAGACTAACGTGATGAAGACAGCATTTATTAATATGTGCCCTAACGATTTTGAACCGGGGGTGTTATGGTTTCAACTTCCTGACTCTGTCTGCGCCATTCTGCTGTAGAATAGAGGAAGATACGAGTTGCAGCCGACCGGGCTTTGTAGCTGATTTGCTCCACGCTAATGTTTTGTCAACACTTTGGTTCAAAAATTAAAAACATGGAACATGATTTGTGTTTGAGATAATAGCTGACTGGAAAAGCCATTTCGTCAAGTTAGAAGTTAAAAACGAATTAAAATCGTATTATATTTATCTAACTGCTGTTTGTTTCATATGTTTTTTTTTCTAAAAACCGAAAAAACATAGTCGGCTAATTAATAAGATAGATAAAGGAGAATACTGCTAATGATGTTGAACTAGCCAATAAGGCCTATTGTTTTGCATAGAGTATGCTGAATCGCGGGAAACCGCGGGCTATAAAACAGTATTCAAACAAATAGCGACTTCTCGGGCGTATGTCGATGTATAAAGACGTGTGACCTGAAGGGGCAGCCATCCAATGTCGAAACCTTAATGCAAGTACACAGACTGTAAGTTGAGCCACCGCTAGCTGCCAGCGCGACGCGAGTATTGTAAATATTGGTGCATTTCTGCTGTGTTAATTGTGCTACAAGTGGAATGGTAAACGATGCAGGGAAACACTCGAACAAGTTATGGATGAAAAATTCAGTGCACATAGCTCAACAATTTTAAAAAAGATGCCTGCAATCCTTTTTTGCACTGAGAAATAATGGATAGCTACAACGGCGCAGCTTCACTACAAGACGAGGATACCTCGTGATCCTCCTACTTGCTTTCGCGCCGTTCAGCGAACACGCGTATATACAAATACATCACCGAGTCCAAGGCGCTTTGTATACCCATTTAAGTACTTGTTCCTCCCCCGAGCTAGAAGTTTTTCCTACTTTTGGATTCTCGTTGGTAGACTGGACATTTGAATCTTACTCAGATTCATGCTAAAGTTATGACCGCGGGAATCCCGAGAGCGTGTATTAGCTTTGGGTTCACAATATTTTTTGTTGGCTTTATCTTGTCCTCTGTGCTAGTCGTTGGGATACGCGCGTTTAGCGTACCTTTCAGAAGGACGTAAGCGTAGTATTTGACAACAGCAACTAATCTGATGCCATTCTCCGTTCTGGTTCTATCGACGAAGTTAGTTCAGTGTAAAATTGACATCCATCAAAAATATACGACGGACGTCAATAATGTATCGTGTACTGTTTCGTGAATATCGTCGCAGGATCTTTGATATGCATAGATATACATATATACAAGGATCTTCTTTAGGGAAGGCGTAGTTTTTTGGCAATCGGTTCAAGGATTCTACGGTCTGTCATGAAGGGGACGTCCGTTTAGTGGAACGACGCATTATTGATCGAAGATACGACATCTTCATTTTCTAGATTCCAATATTAAGTAAAATATAATTTTGTAACCTATAAGCATATGTGTGTTTGATCTAAAACTTTTTCCTCTAGTAGCGCCAATCAGGTAGAGACCTCAAAATATGTATCTGAATGTTAACGCTGTTGAAACTAGGACCGTCCTAGTATGTTCTTTCGCCCGCACCACAATCGTAGTTGTCACTATGCTCGTGGTCATCGTACGCTGTATTTTACATACAGATAGATACACAATGGTACGAGGCTATTTCGTTAAGCCACTGATTTCCAAACACTCGAGTTCAAAAAATATTTGCAAATGATATTGCGGCAGATTTCGAAAACGCCGTAAGGCAGAAGTAATAGTTCAGTCGTATATATTCAGACCAGCCGTAACTGCTCTCACTGAGTCAAACGGTTGGGCGTAACGAATCCTTGATGTTCTGAAGTGAGCCGATCTGCAACCTATAAAATACGGTACCCGCTGGAAACGAAGTTGGTTTTAAATTTTCAATTATTTTTCACCAGAAAACTACGTTGGCTAAAATTGTTGGATAGCCATTGACTGACGATATCCTGAGCAAGTAATTGAAATCATCCGTGTACTATTAAATATATAAATGTAGAATATACGTCTACGGTACGGAAACAGTACTTACTTTGGAAACCTTTGGGTTCACGGGTTCCGATCCAACATGTTGTTGGCTACTTGTATTAAGGGGTATGGGTGAATCGTATTTACAGACGACACATTTGGCGCTTCACAGCAATTGTTATTCGGTAAAATTCGGACATTCTGTCTACTTTTTATGCAACGAGTTATTATGATGGTACCTCTTATTGCTAGGAAATTGCATAACTCGACATTAAGCCAATTATGATCGCATGACCTTTCACATAATGACGACCCTTAAGACGCGGCGGACGTACCGGTGCGCTCATTCTATAGTTTTTCTATTACAGCTCTGGCATTGCGAATTTCCTTCATTTTGGCTGCTGCTCTCTTAACTTTCTCCATTTTCGGGGCTTTGTTACGAGCATTTTACACGGCCAGGAAGAGAGGATCGATGTTTATCTTGCATGTTGAAAATAAATCGGATATTGGAACGAATGACGAGACAATGGGCAACTCGCAGATGGCGCGCGTGTATGTACGTGTAGTACTCCCTTTATCACCCACGACCGTTGGCTCAAACCCACAGTTTTGCTCGGTTCTCAAAGTCCTCTTTGCGCACATCGGCCTGTTCGCGTATTCTCGTCGTGTCCTAAAAGGAAGAGATAGCTGGTGGGCGAGCGGCCGATAAAGCGGAAATGCCATGTCTTAGATACCCTTTGAATTTTGATTCTCGATCAACATTGGCGGCTCACTCCCTTTCCCCGCGTTGGAGTCGCCGGGGCGTTTCTGTTTTGCCTCTCGCATCGGCAATGTTGCACGTTATCGTAGCGGTGGATGGAGGCGAGGATTCACAGTAAAGGTGAACGCAAGAGATACAGTGGACAACGGTATGTTTTGCGGGAGTAATCAGAGTACTGCTTCTATGCCTTTTTGTATACTATTTTTTTAAAAAGGTGCTATTAGGTTGACAGCGGAAGTTGTGGTAGTTAACGATCACATTAAAAATTATGGTTGTTTCAGCTACGCAGGTAGACTAAGTTATAAGATTGCTTTAGGGGTTAAGTAGATTTGGCTTCTATCCATTCCAGAGCACGGCATGTGAAGTGAAGACCGAACGGAAACACCAAAAGACAGCCATGGACATTGATCCAATATGAAAAAAGGGGAGAGTGGCCGCAAAAGAGAGGAAATAAGATGCAGTAGACACCATTTATAACAGCGTGCTGCAAATATAGCCCAGTAGACAAGAGCAGGAGTACAAAAAACGAAAAAGAAGAACTAACGAAAGAGGCCACGTGGGTTTTTCTTAATTTTCTCTAAAAAAGGCAATGGCTTGTATAAGCTACTGGCTGGTGTAAGAGTAGTTTCCGTCGTCGGTGGAGTAGTTGGGCCGTGGATCGTTGAATATGGATACGCGGGAGTGGTAGCGAGGACCTATGCGAAATTGCAAAGGAACGGAGTGAGTCCATGTGATCGCAAGACGATTGAATCTACATAAAAGAAGAAGACGACGACGCCTGCAAGACCTTCTTGATGGCAGCGGCGCCTTGGAGACGCAGGACGACGTGCCTCGCGGCTTCAGCTGTCTTTTGGGCTATTCAGCTATCTTGGTCAGGCTCGATTCGACTCCGCTCGACTAGCCCTACTTCAGTCCTTCCATCACGAGGTGGTCCTCGCAGACGACGCAAGAAAAAGAAGGGACAGAAGAATAGTTGTGGGGGTTATGCTGTTTGCATAGTGTTTACTATGCACAAACTGGGACAGACTGACGGCAAACACGGAACGACCGCATATGATAGATCTTTTGCTCAATCTGAATGTCAGAAGAAATTTGCCAGGGAACGAACAATAATAGTACAGTGCCAACAAATAATAGCGACACTGGGCAATGTAGAATGCGCGGGGATGCACAGATATATACATTTGAGGAACTAAGCCGTCAACAATTGACGTCGACTTGGCTTACTATAACAAGGCAATGCTTCTTAGGGTTAGCTGCACTTGTATATCTTTGATATATTTGTTGGACCTCAATAAAGGATCTTGTTAACTCGTACAAAAACAGCTTGCTGAAGACATCTATTTACTATATGTACTATATTATCTACTATACACGATTAGCAAATAATTATTTGTTTACATTTTAATCAGATAAGATTTTTCGATTTTTAACAAAAGTAGTAAGCACTCATAAAGATCTTTATTCTACGCAAAAGTTCCTGTTGCATAGTCATATTGAGATCCTAATATAATAACTGGGAGAGACTGAGACCAAAAGGACCTGTTGGCTGTGTGCCGTATTTCGCTTAAATGAAGCTTGCTGTCCTAACTGCAGGACAACAATATCTTTGCAAGCTTGCGCAGTTGAAGTTTTATTATCGCGGAGAGAAGGAGAAATATCACGAGGACACGTTTGTGGATTGACAGAAAGGGAAACGATTCGACCTTCATCGCGTTGCGGCACGGTGGTCCAGAAGTGGAGGAAAGCGATGAGTGAAGGCGCCATTATCTGGGCGTTTCTACCAAAGGAAAGATACACCCCATTGGCGCTTGCGGCGGTTCAGTGTGGCCAACCTACCGACCGCACTGATCAATTTTTCCGATGCGGAGGAGCGTCACTTTTTCCCAGTCCAAATAGCCTCCCCCTCAATCCACCATCCTCTGCGTACCATCCATCGGTTTTCGTTTAGATTTTGAAGAAAATAACGAACGCCGAAGTTGACGAAGAGATAGTGGAAAATAGCTGCAGAACGGTGAAACTGAAGGCTGAAAATGAAGTACAGTTGAATGAGATGAAGGAAGATGTGTACGAAAGAGTGGGACGGATATAGATGTCGTACAGGCTTTCGCACGTCAACCATTGGTGAGCGGTGACGACCGACGTAACCACCAGCGCC